GCCTAATATTTTCCCAGACAACAGTGACTAAAAGTTTCCACTTTATTTTGGAGAAGGCAGGCAAACTAGGAGCTGGTAGAAAAAAAATGCTGTGATTGTTATTCATGATTAAATTATATTAACTGCCACAGTTGCTGATTGTCTGCACTCAGATTTGTGACCGATCTGTTGGGTCCACCTCTCCCAAGGCCAAATGAAATATGCCAGATTTTTCAGGCAGTACACCTTTGGATGAGTTTTGCTTTTTGCCATTTAGAACTGTTAGTTTACCCTAGGTAAAGAAAGACTCTTATCTAAAGGTAACTAATATAATGTACATATACGTATCTAGTTATCGCTATGATCTGTAATTAAAAATAGAGCAATTATTTAAAGTGAGGAATGAAATATAATGCAAATAGATATGTAAGAATGCTATGTGTGTGATAAAGAGGCTGCCCAATTCTGGGCAACTTAAAATATTAAAAGCAATGAAAATAGAACAACAACAAAAAAACCCGGGGTGTCCAGAAACACCCCTCCCACACACACATACACATAATATAAATTGATAGAGTTCTAAATGGGCTCAGAACCCACCCTAATTCAAAACCTGGGGGAACGGCCTATTTCCAAAGATTTCTTGAATATCATCAGTGTGCAGTCATGCCAATATCTGAAGGATGTTGTTTCAGAGAGCAGGTGCCACGACAGAGAAAGCACACCTCCTATGTCTGGTTAGAGAATGTAGATAAGATTTAATTGAAGGGACCTGAAATGCACCTGGTCTGCATAGCCAGTCTTCTTCCTTAAAGTAGTACTTTGAATTGCACCCAGAAACCACTGGCAACCAGTACAATTGATGGAGTATGGTATCATGTGGGTGTACTGTAAAACACCCATTACTATCCATGCTGTTGCATTCTCAATAGACCTCAAGACCTCAGTGCAATGCAACTATCCACACATAAGACGACTAATGTCTCAGCTAACACGAGAAGAGTGTGCATGTTCAATATAAAGTCTTCAAGATAAGCACAGACTTATTTTGGATGTGCATAGATTCCACTTTAGATTCGTACTGCTCCATCATCATTTGAAACTTCCAATATATGAAAGCTGACAAGATTCTGATTTCTGACTCCAATTTAAGTCTATAACCTTCCTGCCTATTATATTATCCTATGTTCCCTTTCTCCAGAATTCCTAACACAGGTAGTCCTCAATTTACAACAGTTCCTTTAGTGACCATTCAAAGTTATAACAGCACTGAAAAAAGATGACTTATGGCCATTTTTCACCTTTATGACTGTTGCAGCATCCCCATGGTTATGTGATTTATATTCAAATATTTGACCACTGGTTCATATTTATGATGGCTGCAGTGTCCCATGGACATGTGATCAATCCCCTTTTGCAAACATGCAAAGTCAATGGGGAATCCAGATTCACTTACAAACCATGTCACTAACTTAACAGCTGCAGTGATTCACTTAAAATGTGGGAAGAAAATTTGTAAAATGGGGCATAACTCACTTAACAAATTTCTGACTTAGCAACATAAATTTTGGGCTCAATTGTGGTCGTAAGTTGAGGACTATCTATAGATGTATTATTGGCAAAAGTAGTGAGAGAAGGAAGAAAATAATACATGGAGGAGCCACACTATTCTACTGTTATACACGTTTTTGTGTGTATATGTATGCATAGGTGTCATGTATGTATAGTCACATTTACAATCTAGAAGATCATGACAGTTCCAGATTCTAATTGTTACTACAATAACAGTATAAGAAAAATGGCAGAGAAAGTATTTCCTTGTCCCTATACAATGATGGATTATTATTAAAAAAATTGTGTACATGTTATGTACAACAAAGATAAAACCCTAAAGAACTATTTTCAGATGCTAGTTACAGCCTTAGCCAATATAACTTTGCAGTTACATTTTAACTGTGGGGAGCAGCAACTTCATGCATACTTTCATTTGGATATCTACACATTGGCATGCCCTTACATTTTAAGTGTGGAAGAAATATTCTCATTCCTTGAAAAAATAGACATCTGAAAAGCTGTGTGTTTTATTTATGTCCATTATGTATTTATGTCCATTATACTACATATATTACTTCCAAACACTTGAAGTTTTGCAATTTAAAAAATATGTATCATTTATTAATTTTTAAGACTGGAACACAAATTAATAAATGGTCAGTCTCCCTCTCTCTGTGTGTGTCTTTGTGTGTGTATATTTAAAGGGCAGGTTTAAACCATTGGACTGAGGAATCAGCATTCCTCAGTCCAATGGTTCAGAAATATGGTTTGCTTTGTGGTTTTTGTAGTCTTATCAGATTTGAACTCAAGACAGAGGCTTGTTTGGTGATTGGATTTTTTTGTAAAGTTCAATCAATTTGTTCTGGGAGCCCTTTATTTTCTTTGTGATTGTTCCTTCTTGTTTGTGGTTGAAGCATAGGTACCAACTATGTATAAACCAGTTGATCTTCCTATTGTTCTGCTTGATAGCTGGGTCCCTGTAGTTCTTAAAGTAAGTCATTGATCCAAGATGCGACAAGCTGTTTTATTTTTCAGTTGGCTGTCACAGAGTCTGAGACTGATTTGAGTGGTGAAAGATTGCCCCAAAGTTATCCAGCTGGATTTCATGTCTAAAGGAAGACTAAAACCTGGGTTCTTAACCACCACACCCACCAGTTCTTACTAATCAATACAGCTTTTAAAAATATAGTTTAGATATAGAGCCAAGAAACAACAACATTGAAACAGTTGTGCTGGATTCTACAATGACATGCTACAACTATCATGCAATATTCTCCTCTGCAAAGGTCAGATCAGCTGCTCAAAGTCATCAAGAGCTTGCTGTGTCATTCTCTCGTTGCAGCCATCTACAATTTGCTCCAAGAGAGAAGATCTGTCTAAATTCCTCAGGGCTCCATACATTTCCAAGAGGCCACAGCTGTTTTCTTTCTTGCTTCCTTCCTGTTCTAAGCTCTCACTTCAAAAGCAAAGACTTCCCTTGAGAACAATTGTTTGATAATATCTGTGTAAAGCAGTTGATAATCTTCTTTGCTGTTAGATAAAGTGGAGCAAATTTTAGGGAGGGGGGGAGACATTATTTTGAGAAAAACCGATGCACACAGTGACCATTTGCTGAGAAGAAAAGAAAGAGGTTATCCCTTAATGATACTGACTGGTGGTCCCAGCGGGCAATTTTACATGTTGTCTTGCCCAGACGGTGAAATGAGTCCTGTGCTTATTTATTAAAAAGGAGGTAGGCAGCAGGAACAAAACCGAGAGATAATGACTTCTGTGGCATGGATGCCTGCCTGATGTGCAGCAAAACTCTTTAGAGTGTTTCTAGAATTGCAAGCACTGCAGTCTACTAATGTGGCATGGCTCTTGCAAAATGGGGGCAACTAGCTTTAAAAAAAATATGTTTAGCTCTTAACTGAGCTTGAGAATAGGAAATTACACAATGGATGTTGAAATGCAGGCTGGGTGAAAAATTGTCATTTGAGTAATGGATGCTTTATTTCCTGTTTTTGCTAAAAGCCGGAGCTCAGCATAATTAGTGAGTGAGAAAGCAGCCTTGGCAGCCAAACAAAAAAGCACATTTTGGGCTCCTGAGCCAATTAAAATTGTTTATGCAGTGTCTGAGCAATATTTTTCACTGAACAATTAGACTCCAAGTATTCATCATGAGGGAGGAGCTGTGATTATAAAGAACCTGATTTGGGGGAAATGCAGAAACTGAAGAATATATGGTAAAGTGTAGCTATTTCCTTCAATATGTTCAGTAAAACAGGAAATTGTAGAAAATATATTTACTGACAACATTTCAAGCACTAAACCCAAATACTCAGTAATTAAGGGAAGATGAGTTATGTGTTGCACATACATGTAAGAACCAGGCTGGAATTCTGGTACATCAGAAGAATTCAGGACAGAAACACCCAGTAGCTTTGTCAAGCTTCAGGTGGTGTCCCTATGTTCTTTCCATTGTCAACAAGAATGCAGCCTATAAACAACTGCAGTGTTGCACTAAAGAAAGTATGTGTGGACAACATCTAAATTATTATTTGGAGCTGGATCAGGTATTTGCTCTACAGTACATGAGAGATCCCTGCTATCTTTCAAACCGTACTCAGAGAACATACTGTGTGACCTGGGCTAGGGTAATGATAAATGCTGCAGTCATCCTCATGGTGGCAAATTTCCAATTGCTTCAGTAATGAATATGTCTTAAGATGCTAATTGAAGCACAAGATCACTATGCTTTAGAATCAAAGATAAGGAATCATTTTAGGCCTTTGAATCCAACTCTCTCCTCAGTATAGGAATGGAGATGAAAGCATCCCCAATTGGATGGTTGTCCAATCGCTATTTGAATACATCCAGTGAAGGGGTTTGCATTACTTCCTTTAGTCATTGGTCCAACTATTAAATTGCTCTTATTTTAGTAAATATCTCTTACATTCATTTGATTGTCTCTGCCTGAAGACCATTTTCCACATCCTTCATCTTTCTTCAGAGATTCTTCAGGTACTTGAAAAGTGCTCTCATACTCTACCATCCCCAGTCATCTGTGTAACATCATTTCAGCTATGTAAAGAGTTGCCAATATATTTATGCCTGCTCTTTTCAAGACTGAACATACATCATTTCTTCAATCTTTCTTCAGATGGTAGGACTTAGTTTCAAATCTGTGAATTATCTTTACCATATCTCTCCACACCTGTTTTAATTTCACCTTTCTTAAATATGTAGGACTCAAAATTCTACACAAGATTCAACATGTGGTCTAATGAATGCAGAACGTCTGTGATTACTTTCTGTAATTTATGTACAAACTGTATTTCTGTCAATGCAGCCTAAAATTACATGACTCATATTTAGCTACAAGTATTCACATATGCTATAGTACTACCAAGTCAAACATTCCCCATACTATACATGCAAACACACACACGTGTGTGCATTTTTTTATAAATGAAGGCAATTGCATGTCTTATTAATTTTTTATCTGTTTTCAGCCAATTTTTTTGAACTTCAAGATAATTTTTTACTTTTTTCTGTATTTTAGAATAGAAGCCATTTCATGTAAATTTGTGTCATGAACATTTTTATAAGCATCCCCCACTTCTTCAGACGTTAATGAACTATAAAGATGACCTCATGAAGACCTCATTTTAGCTTGATCAGGAACCAACTGTTTTCAAGGCAGGGGTGGAGCCACTGTATACTGATTATATTCATGACTTTCCATGATCTACAAAGGAAGTTATCCCATTAAAAATGAAAGATTAGTCTGACAAGTTTTGTTCTTGGAAAGTTCACCCTCGTTCCTAGTAATCATAACTTTTTATGAGAAATCAGTTGCTTGATATGTCTAGAATTTTTCCATGATATGAAACTGGTAAAATACACTGCATTTTCTTTCCCCCCCTTTTTAATGGCCATATGCCCTTCTCCCATTAACTGATATTTACCTATTCTCTAGGATTTCACAAATGTAATGAATAGAGGGTCAGTCAAAGGTCAGTCTATCATTATCAAGTTTCTTCAGTAATCTAGGAAGCAAATATGTCTGTGCCTAGTGGATATATATATGTATATTTTTATTAAGCTCTATTTAAAATTCCACAGATTTAGTCACTACACTATTTTACACACTTTACAGTAGAATGAATTATTTCTAAGACAAGACTGAGACAAAACTGGAACAGTTTTGCTGAAGTCTTTTGAGTTCTTCTTAGCATCTTTAAGTAAGTCTAAATTTTAGATTCCTGTTTTCTTTCTTCTATGTGTATCCTTTCTGATTTGTGATTTGTGTTGGCATGACTAATGATGGTAAACAATATTTCTCCCCAAACTAACAATTATCTGCAATACAGTTTGGTAATATTAAATGTATTGTATGAATATTTTATTTTGAAAATATTTATATAGTTGTCCATCTCACACAAATGACTCTGGGCATCTTACAAGATTTGAAACAAACAAATCCACCAAATATAACCTTCTGGTACCAAAATAAACTTTTAGCTCACCATCAGTAGCAGCAAAGCTCATTTACCCCATGACCTACATACCTGGGGAAACAGCCAGATTGTTGATGCCCTGCAAATTTATAATCTAATCTGTATAATTAGGGAGCCATCAAGTGAAAGCCTGAATGGGGGAAGCTGAAGCAAAAATCAAGCCATAATCTGAACTAAGTCATGCAGGCAACCATCAGCATTGTGTGAATCCAAAGATTCTATATTGTGGCCTCTGAATGGAGTCGTCTAAAATTAAGCACTGTAAAATATTAATTTATTAGAAAGCTATTGAATAACAGTGGTGCAATTTTCTGTTTCAAGAGGGTAAATGAAATAGTGTTAAACATCCGATAGCCCTCCTGTTTTACTTAAAAATAACTCTCTTGAAATATTGAAAAAAACTGTGGAAGAAAAAATGTAGTTCCAACTCCTGTAATATCTGGATGCTTAATAAAAGAAATTTCACAGAAAATATAGCTCCCATTTTTAAAAGCTTATGCTGTTGTGGTTGTAATATGTTATGACTATAAGGATGTTTTTAATTTATTTGTTTATTGAATTTATAAGGCTGCCCTTCTCATACTAATGAGTGGCTAACTCATACTAGGTGGCTAACAATACATAAAATAAAGCAAAATAAAAAATGTAACAAAATTACCATTGCAAACAATATATTGTAATAACAAAATTGTGATCAGACAATTCTCACCTAGAACTTCATGGCTCAGTGGATGATGTCAGAATCTCAATGGGGAATCTAGTGGCTTCATTTCTCCCTCATGATGAGTATTTCTCTGCCTTTGTAATAAAAGCTGTAAAAATATTAGGGAACCTTAATAAACTTCAGCAATATGAATTACATTCAGTTTTTGCTATAATCGGGCATGAAGTGTTTTTTTCCTTCTTTTCTAATTATTGTTTCCCCTCACTCAATACCAGTAGTAAGGTAAATGTATCTGCTTGTAACACCATGAAATAACATACTGCATTCTTGCTTAATGAACACAGACCTGAACATCATCAGTCAATTATGACATTTTTTTCACCATAAAAGTTGTTTCACATGTCTATAGATTTTTTTTGGTATAACTCTGACATTTACCACATCTGAAAGAATTGTACCATTTTCATTCAATAAGGAGAAAATCTGAAGGTCAGAATAACAGAATGACAGAGTACAAAGGGACTGTGGAGGTCTTCTAGTCCAACTCCCTGCTCAAGAAGGAAATCCTGTATCATTTCAAATGGCTATCTGGCTTCTTCTTACATAATCTCCAGTGATGGAGCACCCATAGCTTCTGGAGGCTTCATCTCTGAATCATCATCATCTATGGTTTTCCCTTTCACCACAGTGTGCTTCCTGGGATCATGAGAAAAGGACATGGTACCCACTGTGGGATCCACCAGCAGTTCTCTAATGATGCATAAGGCCTGCTGGCTTTGAGTTGCTGGCCTTTGATCCTTACACTAATACGGGTTGCTCACAGAGGCAACTCAGCATCTCAAGATGCCTGCATGAATTTAACCCTCACCTTTGTTTCTCTTATGTTTCTTTGAACTATAGTTTATGTTCCTTTATAAGTACAGGTTTCAGTCCCTTCTGTAGATAAGTCACCTTCCCTAGGCTCTGATGTGTATCATATTAAAAATATTCTCAAATATGATTTTCCATTAAGAGACAAAATATCAAATCAACCCAATATGTGCATAATTTTTATTTAATCCATTCTTAATTTTTCTTCAAAATAAGTGAAGGGAAATTAAAAATGGAGTAAATAAAAATTATGCACATATTGGGTTGATTTGATATTTTGCCTCTTAATAGAAAATTATATTTGAGAATATTTTTAATATGATACATATCAGAGCCTATGTTGTTGCATAGAATTTAATAGGGTATTTTGCGCATACAATTGGTATCAGTCAACAAACTTAAATATTTCTAATTAACTGGTATGGTATGATTTATTGCAATCTGAGCCTTAGAAGAGGGAGGTATAAAAATAAGTTTCAAAAAAAGTAATAAATCAGTAACATACATGCATGTAATTCTCTAAAGCTTTGTGATGGAGAATTTATAGTATTTGGTAGTTTGTCTTTAGTTTTTTTAATGTGACACTGTTTTTTTGTGTGCGCATTGCATATTTAATTTTCCAACAGGGCTGTGATTTAGATTGCAGACAAAATTGTTAAACATAACAGCATTAGGTGGGTATGGGTTTGCTTTGACATGTTACTTGCCTTACTTACTTTTCTGTGGAGGGAAAGGAAAAGTATGATTTTGCAATGTCTTTCTTATGCCTGTTTTCAATAGGTTTCCCATTGAAAAGTACATTTATAATCTTTCTGAAAGCCAAATTCAGACGATAATATCACTGCAAACAGTCCTGCTCTAACTTGACAGGAACTTAATTAGGAATTTCCCATATTACAAAGTTCATAGTGTATTTATAAAAAGTTGTGTTTACAATGACACATCATCTCACTTGAAACTATATATAAACCCCATAATAGAAATACCCATGAGTCTTGGAGAGTAGTCAGATTGAAAAGCTGCACTGGTAGTGTTTTAAAAGTTTAAACTGCTGTAATATTATAACCATAAAAGTATCACCCTGATGTCGAATGAGTTAAAGCTAGAAACCATATTAGGAAAAAATATAAAATATTTGAGTTACAAAAAGGTAGATGAGGAATTTATTTCAGCAGGAATGAAAAAAAAAAAGAAATTGAGTTGTTGCATGTACAATTTCTCCAAATATATCCAAAGACTACTGACTGATCAGTAGATACTGTATATTGGGGTGGAAGTTAATCTACAGGGGGCTAAGACTTATGCCCTAAATGAAGATAAAACTATATTTTATAAAGGACTTTTGATGAACTATTTAACTTTCTAAATGAAAATTGGCGTTTCCTGAGAAATTGAAAAATATTAAGAGGCAAATTACCAATGGTTTTCTTTGATTTAATGGACAATTTGAAATTTGTTGATGCATGGACCTATAAAAATGGTGATTCAAAGGAATATACTTATTTTCTGAAAGACATAGATCTTTTTCAAGAAGAGACTTTCTCAGACCATAACTCAATGACTTCACCTTTTAAAGGGAAAAATTATTCTTTCAGATGGAGATTGAATGAATTTGTTGCAAAAGGAAATGGTAGGGGAGCACTGCAAAAAAAAACCCAAAACACTAAAAGCATTTTTTGAAAATAATCTTAATAAAGCCACAAAAAGATAAATAGTTTTGGATTCAAGCAAAGCTTTTATAAGAAGTTGTAAATGATTTCAAAAAGATAAAGCAAGAGAAAATACAAAAGATTTTGGGTGAAATTTTATATTATTTATTGTTTTATCATAAAAAGTAAAATACAAAACAGAAAAACAAACCAACAAAAGGAAACAAAACAAAAACATGCATTCAACCCTAACAACAACAAAGAAAAAAAATGGTGTACAAAAAAGAAGAGAGCAAAAACGTGATCACATAATTTTAACATTTAATGTAGGATCTACCTGGTGCTGAAAAAAAAAGGAAAAAGCAGTAAATTCTTCTCCCCTTTTACAAATATCTCTCTCTCTCTCTCTCTCTCTCTCTCTCTCTCTCTCACACACACACACACACACACACACACACACACATATGTTTTCTGAGGTTTTTGCAGGTGTTTGTATGTAGGTCTTTGGTTGTTCGGGTTTTCTCCCGCGTAAAATTGGAAGTGTCTTGGCGACGTTTCGACGAAGTCCCATTCGTCATCTTCAGGCTGGTGTTTTCACCTTCGTGCTTCGAGGAGCTTGAAAACACCAGCCTGAAGATGACGAATGGGACTTCGTTGAAACGTCACCAAGACACTTCCAATTTTATGCGGGAGAAAACCCGAACAACCAAAGACCTACATATCTATCTATCTATCTATGAAAGAACAAAAAGCAGTCAACAGATTGAGCTAAACATTACACTAATCTTCTTCAACTGCTTCTGTTAACCATCTGTTATTATATTTAGCACATAGAAAGTCTACAAATGGTTTCCAGTCTCTTATAAAGCTGTCCAGTACATTATCTCTAATCAAAGCAGTTAATTTCACCATCTCTGCTAATTCAGTCAATTTCAAAATCCATTCTTCAACAGTCGGCATCTCTTTTTCTTTCCAGTGTTTGGCAAGTACAATCCTTGCAGCCATCACCATGTGAGGAATAGTCCCCCATATTGTTTTTCAATTGGCTTGTCCCTCATACCTAAAAGAAAAGCTTCAGGTTTCATTATTATTTATATCTTAAATATTTTTGCATTGTCATTGTTATGCTTATCCAGTATATTTTCACATATTTGCAAGACCACCACACTGATAAAATGAACCTGGATTTTGACTACATTTCTAGCACTTATTAGAAATCCTTTTATATATTTTTGCTAGTCTATCTGGAGTCAAAGATATTTCATTTTATAAAAAATTTACTTCAAGCTATAATTTAATGTACATTTTTGTCCTTTTTGCCCATACATTCATTTATCTAGCATTATATTATACCCAAAAAGTTTGCCCATTTTTCCATACATTCTTTAACATATTCATTTTCTAGGTTCATCTTGGGTAACATTTTATATGCTTTAGAAATCAAGTGATCATCTCCAGAACATAAATTAACGTCCAATTCAAACAAAACTTTTAAAATCAAATTTAAATCTTTCAAAAATTCTATAATAATTAAACCAATCACAAGTAAATTCTTCACTTACTAATTGCTCTCTTGTCTTTATCTCTTTTTCAAATATTAATAAGTCTCAATATGTCACCCATTTACATTCCAATATCATCTCTGTTCTATGTAATGCTTCATGAGGTGATAGCCAAAGTGGCAGTTTATTAGTTAAACTTTTGTACAAAAGGATGAAATTTTTTAAAAAAGGAAGAATTAAATAAGCCCCAAAGAGGACAACTACCCAGCAAATTAAGCTTTTACAGAGTCAATTATTTATGTTAACAGTGAGAAAGATGGAAATAAAGATGAATTATGCAAAACAAGTACATTTTGAATTTGCAAATAAACTGGGGAAATTTTGGCATATAAATTGCAGAAAGAAAAAGAACAGAAGGTGGCCCTAAAGTGACAGGAAGGAAATATAACAGATAATGAAAATATGTAACAAGTGTTTCATCAATATTATTCTATTTTACAGAAAGGCCAAGAAATTTCCTTGGAAAAAGTGGATGAATATTTATATAAACAGAATTTACTGAAGATTACAGAGAATTAGAGACAAATTTTGAAAGGATCTGTAACAATAAGGGAAGTTTATATACAGTAGCTATTAAAAGGACTAAAACAGGAAAGACAACTGACTAGATGATCTGCTGGCCTCTTATTATAAATGCTTTGAGGATGAACTTTTATAACCTTTATAACCATTAAAATATATGATGCATGTTACAGAATGGAAAGATTCCTGAAAGCTGGAAATATACAGCATTAATACTTAATGAGATCCAGGAGCTGACTTTAACAAGAAATTATTGACCAATATTGAATAATGACTATACGTCCGGGGTGTTAAACTCAATTTCATTGAGGGCCGCATCAGCATTGCGGTTGCCCTCGGGGGGCCGAGTGGGTGCGGCCTACTGGGTGAGTGTGGATGGAGTGGGTGTGGCCCACTGGGTGGGCATGGCCAGTTCTACATCGTTCGCGTCAAGGATGCCTGTGGGGGTCTGGGCAGGAGTGGGACAGATCTGAGGGTCTCTGGCAGAAGGGGGTGGGACTGGGGCAAGTGCCAAGGCATGGTCCATTTCTTCATTCCTCACAAAG